TAGGAAAAGAGAGCACCAAGAGAACCTAGGAAAGAAGAGGCAGGTTGATTTTTTAAAATAGTCACTTCTATGCAGTGTCGTGCAGGAGCACAAGGAGATCTTGCTCATCCCCGTGCAGGCCACCCAGGCAAGGCTCACCCATAGCCTGTGATCCCCAAAGACACACAGGCTGCCAATAGGTTGCCTCTTGTCCACCTCCCTGGTTCTGGGAGGCACAGCACTTTCTATCTCTACAACACCCCCAGCCCCACCTTGGGTAGGGATACAAATCATAAAACTTCCTGTGTTTAGAGTTGGTTCTTAACTCCATGACACAGTGAACTACCACTTATTCAGATCTTCTGCCATCTGGCCCCACTGTCTTATCTTCTTGTGGGATTAGGACTGTGAAAAGATCTTGCTTATGCTGCTGTGTGAGTAATAAACTTCCAAAGCAGCAGTTGCCACAGCTTAGGGACAGCCGATGAAGAGCACAGACAGGTCAGGGAGGGGTGATAAGAAGTAGCCCAAGCATTGGAAGGTGAACTGGCTTCTTGTAAGTGGCTGGAAGAAGCAAAGCAAAGCCATCAGGAAAAAAAGCTACAGTACCACAAGCTGGTGTTCTGTTACCTGTCATCTATAAGACATAAATCAGAAGTGACTTGTCCTAAGGCAAAACAGACCTAGAGTTGAATTAAAGAAGATATTAACTACTGGCTAGAATGGGAAGTTATCATTTGTCATTCAAATTGTGCTCATCAACTTTCTTTGCATTTTTCTATTTATCTCTGTTCATGACTTCCCTCCAAACACACACAAGCATGCAGGGCTAGAAGAAACCATGACTACTGTATCATAATGAAGGAGAACACTTTAAAGGGTCATTTATAAAGCTGCAGAGCACTGACATGTGTACTTTAGTATCTGCTACTGCAAACACACTGTAAGCAAGATGGGGATTATTTTGTAACATGATAAATAATTTTAATGAAATCATAAAATAGTAGCCTGTATGATTAGTCTTCTGGAGAAATCTCATCTTTAAACAAGAGAGACTTTGCATAAGTAGATCTTTAAGGAAGTTTTTCTCATAATTTTTATAGGGACTCGTAACACATTCATTGATCATACATCTTTTTTTTATTAGTTGTTCAAAACATTATATAGCTCTTGACATATCATATTTCATACATTTGATTCAAGTGGGTTATGAACTCCCATTTTTCCCCCGTATACAGATTGCAGAATCACATCGGTTACACATCCACGTTTTTACATACTGCCATACTATTGTCTGTTGTATTCGGCTGTCTTTCCTATCCTCTACTATCGCCCCTCCCCTCCCCTCCCCTCCCCTCCCATCTTCTCTCTCTATCCCATCTACTGTACTTCATTTCTCTCCCTTGTTTTTTCCCCCCTTTCCCTTCACCTCCTCTTATATGTAATTTTGTATAACGATGAGGGTCTCCTTCCATTTACATGCAATTTCCCTTCTCTCTCCCTTTCCCTCCCACCTCTCGTCCCTGTTTAATGTTAATCTTCTTCTCATGCTCTTCCTCCCTGCTCTGTTCTTAAGTTGCTCTCCTTATATCAAAGATGACATTTGGCATTTATTTTTTAGGGATTGGCTAGCTTCACTTAGCATAATCTGCTCTAGTGCCATCCATTTCCCTGCAAATGCCATGATTTTGTCATTTTTTAGTGCTGAGTAGTACTCCATTGTGTATAAATGCCACATTTTTTTTTATCCATTCATCTATTGAAGGGCATCTAGGTTGGTTCCACAGTCTAGCTATTGTGAATTGTGCTGCTATGAACATCGATGTAGCAGTATCCCTATAAGCTTTAAGACACTCAAGAGGAATTGGCATGGTTTTGTATAATTTTATTATATGTTGTATGTTATTTTGTTGTGTATATATAATACTTGGCATTGGGAGAGGAATGGTAAGTTAAACTTTTCGTATAATTGTGGTCTTTTGGTACTTAGAAATGCTTCTAGGTTCAAAGTTAGGCAGCAATTCTCTTTAATATGTTTTCAGAAATCTTTAGGACAGTTCATGCTGTGTAATTGTAGGATTTGTGCTGGGCATAGTGCCAGCTCCATCTTGGGTAACTGCAGAAGGTACTGACCTGCTGTTCTTCTCTCCTGTAACTGTAACTCTAAGAGGGGCTGTGACAGCAGATGAGATGAACACACAAAGTACATAGCATGTGTGATGTGCTGTAATGATTAAAATGCTGTTATGTGTTTTGTTAAAATAGCAAATGCAGCTTTATCTGATGTAAGTAAAACTATCTTTTGGTCATCTTCATTTTAATATTTTTGTTTTTTACTTTCCTTTGGGAAAAAATGAGAACAGTGAGTATTGGGTGGTGATGAGCAGAAAAAGGGACCATGAATATAAAGCTCTATGCAGCATCACAGTGGCTTGTCAACAATGAAATATTGTATGTGGGTTTCTTGTGCCTTTGTAGGAATTGATTGTTTTAAAATATGTTCCAATTGCCAAAATTTCCATGACTTATGACAGCTTGAATACTTGATATTTTATCCCAGAAAACAAATGAAAGTCTCTCTCTCTCTCTTTTTTTTAAAGTGCCATGGTATTCTTGTCCTAAACTTGAAACATTAAGAGATGTGACTTTTTAATATTTGAATCTTTAAAGGCATCTGGCCCTTATTTAACCATCACATTTACATCCAATTCCTGCAGGCCTGGTTTTGTTGTTTAAGCTTGGCTTGATGCCCTCTGCAGAAAGCCTTTGCCTTAATGAACACAACTCCACTGAAACCGCTTGTGTCCTCTGCTCCTTCCTATCCCCACCACTGTACAACAGCACAAGAAATATTCATCTTGGATTTCAACTAAGAAGACAGAATAAGAAAATACATTGCTGGAGAATTAACTTTATAAGGGGACACTGCTATGACATACTCAACGTGTTGCCCTTAGATTATTTGCAGAAGTGTTTATATACTATGAATGTTCAGCTGGAGCATACAGGAAACTGTAAAATATTTTATGAGATGTATACATGGTTGATGGTAGAATTTTAAATGCAACCTGGGAAGGTTCTATCTAAATTCCAGAAGGGCAGATGAGAGAATACATTCTCTATAATGATTTAGTTTTATATAAGGAGTTACAGGAACTGGAAAGCAATGCCTGATTTGGGAACTATGTTTAAAAAAATTCATAAAATTAAACTTTATAATTTTTAGACAAGTAAACTTGTTTCCTTTCAGACTAAGAATCACTACTGTGTTTATTTGCCTTCTATGTGGTAAAAGCATTAAATGTGGGTTGTTTATTATTTCATAAAAACAAAGGACAGATGGTAATAAATGAAGAGTTCTCCCTAGATTCAGAAACTATATACACCATTTTTAAGAAGTGTGCTTCTGATGGTTTTCAAATAAAAACCCTCAGTCCTAAAACTGGAATATTATTTTTGAATCTCAACTATTACAAGATGTGAAGACAAGAAGGTTAATGACATAACCTCCAAGTGCTATGTTCAGAAAGTCATGCTTCCAAATTTAGGTGAAAGGAGAAGTATTTCTCTTTCCTTTACCCTTAATCTAGAGGGTAAATCTAGAAGAGAGGTTATTCATTATTCGTTGGTTTGTTTTCACACTGAAGCTCTAAAACACAAGGGACAAAAAACAAACTAGGGGTGTACAGTCACTGACTTAGAGTTGAGCCTGATGTTTAAGAACATAGGTCAGTTAGTTAATGCCAAAGTCCCTCTGAAGAAGATTTTAACACATAGCACTTATGCTTTAGGAATGTCCATAGTTGGTATTATTTTAAAAATAAATTTACATTGGGATAAATATGTTCCAATTTACTGGGATAAATATGCTATAAAACTCCAATGAGTCTTGGTAATATTCTAATGCAAATCCAATATAATGGAATATAATATTAGGTTAAAAGCAAGGGACCATGGGTTCTAATCACTGTCTGTCACTGCCATTATTGAGTGATTTAGGGAAAGTCACTTTCCTTTCTAGGAAAAGTTTTTTTTTTTTTTTTAATCTGCAAAATGAATGTCTGTTCTCAACTATCTTTAAGATTCTGCTCTGTTATCTAAGAGATTCTGCTCTGTTATTTTAATCTTAAACTACATTTTCTGAAACTTTCATTCTGTAAATTTTCTTTTATTTCTATACTCACTACTTAAGGAATTTTATTTCACTTCAAATTTAGTCTTGTAGAAAGTGTAAGAAAAGAACCTAAGTGTAGAAAAGAAAAAAAAGATTTAAAAATATAAATATTGAGCAATTATGGGGACATCTAGGCTGGTTCAGGACAGACATAAATGACCTTGTTTTATTCTAAATTCAGCTCTCTGGCTTATGATGAAAAGTGAAAGGTTATTATATGAACTTACTGGGCAAAACCAGATTTTATAAATAATTACCTGTCAGACTGTTCAAGATAGACAAACATACACCAGACCAACAAAAACACAGACCTGTCATATTTCTGAGAGAAATGTACATTGAGTCTTCCTTCTCTGGGACTATATGGAGATCAGGTAGAATAAAATGAAGGGAAAAAACTAACCACTGTATTTTCTATCTTGTGCAAACTTTAAAATATATAATGTGCAGGAACAGAAGAAATTTCAATATGAAAAATTAGCCGCTGAAAATTTTATACCTTCCATAAGGCTGGGAGATGAAACCAAATACAATAAATGCTGTCATTTTAAAAGTTAGGATGTTTACTGCAGACTTATAATTTTCCACCATTAGGGATGCCAAGGAAAATAAGGATGATGATAAAAAGAAAAGTTTAATTGTACATTTCAATCAGCACAGATGCAATATCAAAACCATTCAGCAATTTTTTTGATATTATATATCTGTTTTTTGTTTCTGACGTGCAGATTTTTTCCCAAGAGTATTAACAGAACAGGTAAATGACAGTTAACAAATGTGAATAACATGGCACAATCACACTGGGACTCTCAATGATCTGGTCCCAAGGAAAAAAAAAATGTCACGCTTCTCATTTCTGTTTTTATTAATTCTTTATAAAAGACTGTTTTGGTTTGTGTGAAACCATGATAAAAGTTAAATTACACAAAATTCCCACAGAATTTAAAGAAATAACTTCCTTCTTTACAATTCATGTTTAATCAGGAACTGTACAACTTCATCTGCCATATTTTGGTTTGTTCCCAGGAGTTACAGTTCCTCATTTACCACAGAAAACACAGATGCCAGAGGGTAGCGCAGCTGCTCCAGCAAGCAATGCGGCTGCCCAGTCTCCAACTGGGTGGGGGTGCTGAAGAGAGGAAGCAAGCTTTTCTGCTCCTTTCTACTGCTTCTGATAGGACAGGGAATGGATAGGATGGTGGCCCTGGCAAGTGGACCAGGGGAAAGGAGGGAAATGTAGGAAAAAGTTCTGTATGAGGAGAAACACATGGCTGATGGCAGGAAGATGGGAAGAAGGCATGGAAATGACCCATATTCAGATATAGTACATGAGGGAAGAAGAGAGGGAAAAAGGCAGTTCAGCAGGTCAATTAGATCTTTGATTAGCTATAAAACAAACAGGCATCTGTAAAATACATGCAGATGCAGTCAACAAGTGTTGGAAAGTAAAGCTGGTAGGACAGTGGAGGAGAAGATCAACTGTCCTTTTAATTTTGTCTCTTTTGTCTCAAACCTGGATTATAATGGTATCAAATAAACACTGACCAAACACAGTGGGGTGGGGAGACATTGCTTTTAGGATACGTGTGTTGAGGGTAGCAAATCCATGCCAAATCAAAATTTCAAAATCGTGTGATCTACATTCTTGTCCACCTACATGCTATCCCAAACATCCTGCCATTTATTAGCTAAATGGTCCATCTAGTAAACGAGACTAAGTGTTGAGGGGGCTGGAAAAGAGCAGGAGCCAGCCAGTTGAGAGTCACAATAAGCCATTCCACTCCCTAGGACATGGAGAACGTAAACTTTTATTTTTTCAAGAGATCACCTCAGTATAACGTTGCCTTTCCAGTCGTCGCAGGCACAGTCACATCAACAGGCTAGAAAAGCCATCCCATTTCTGCGGTAGGCACTCTGTCAAAGAAAAAGAAATCTGAAATGAATTATCACATCAAGTCAAACAAGGAAAGAAGGCAAGAAGCAAGCAGAGCTTTCTTTCTGTTTTGTAGACTGCTGGCTAAAATCTAGTAGGGTGCTTAATCTGAGTATTTCTGGTAGCAAAGCTATAGCAACCATTCTATTACAAAAATCAGTGTGGTTAACAAGTGGTTAGTGATGCTATTTTTGGAAAGTGGGAGACAGGCAAAGAAAGATATCCCCTTTTGTTAATTGATTGGGTTTGTTTAAACCAAAGAGATGTTGTGCTGAATCTGCTTCTTTCATAAACATATGTTCTCTATTCAACATGCTCCAGAATCACTTGTAACTATCTTAATAGCTTATAAATTACTGACTCATTTCATTATAGCCTTTCTAACCGTAATTTATAGTCTGAGTGAACAGATACCAACAGAGGGCTTACCTCTTCACTAAAATATGATCTTAGAATTCTGCACATAATAAAGAGTATGGAAAACTTGAACCCTTACATACTTTCATATACATACATATACATACTGGCATATTAATGTATATACATGGTATGATAAAATATTGCCATAAAAGAAAACAGGAAAATGGATAGGAATTGCAATAGTAAATGAATCAATGAAAAAAGCAAAACTACATGATTTTCATGTCAATAGTTTTTTTTTTTTCATTTCAGAACTGGAAAACCCAGGGCCTCTTGTAAATTGTCCTGAATCTTATTTTATTCTAAAGTGGAAGAGAACTAAAATCCAGAACTTAGAAATAATACCCCCCTTTTAAAAAATTAATTAACTAATTCTAATTAGGTATATATGACAAAATGCACTTTGATTCATTGTACATGTATGGAGCACAACTTTTCATTTCTCTGGTTGTTCATGATGTAGCGTTGCACCATATGTGAAATCATACATGTACCTAGGGTAATAAAATCCATCATTCCACCATCTTTCCTGTCCCCAAGTCCCTCCCTTGTCCCCTCCCTCTTCTTTGCTCAAAGTTCTTCCATTCTTCTCATTTACCAGCCTCCTCCGGCCCCCTGCCATTATGGATCAGCATCTACTTATTAAAACATTCAGCCTTTGGGTTTTGGGGATTGGCTAACTTCACTAAGCATTATATTTTCCAACTTTGTGCATTTACCTGCAAAGGCCATAATTTTATTCTCTTTTAAAGCGGAGTAATATTCCATTGTGTATATATACCATAGTTTCTTTATCCATTCATCTACTGAAGAGCATCTAGGTTGGTTCCACAGTTTAGCTATTGTGAATTGAGCTGCTATAACCACTGATGTGGCTGCGTCACTACAGTATGCTGATTTTAGGTCCTTTGTGTATATACCAAGGAGTGGGATAATTGGGTCAAAAGGTGGTTCCATCCCAAGTTTTCTAAGTAATCTCCATATTGCTTTCCAGCATAGTTGCACCAATTTTTAGTGCTACCAGCAATGTATGAGTGTACCTTTTCCCCTACATCATTGCCAACACTTATTATTGCTTGTATTTTTGATAATTGTCATTGTGACTGGAGTGAGATGAAATCTTAGAGTAGTTTTGATTTGCAATTTTCTAATTACTAGAGATGTTTAATATTTTTTCATGTATTTGTTGATTAATTGTATATCTTATTCTGAGAAGTCTCTGTTCAGTTCCTTAGGCCATTTATTGATTGGGTTGTTAATTTTTTTTGGTGTTAAGTTTTTTGAGTTCTTTATATATCCTGGAAATTAATGCTCTATCTGATATGCGTGTAGTAAAGATGTTCTCTCACTCTGTAGGCTCTGTCTTCATATTAATGATTGCTTCCTTTGCTGAGAAGAAGCTTTTAGTTTGAATCCATCCCATTTATTAATTCTTGATTTTATTTCTTGTGCTTTAGGAGTCTGGTTAAGGAAGTCAGGACCTAATCTGACATGATGAAGATTTGGGCCTACTTTTTCTTCTATTAGGTGCAGCGTCTCTGGTCTAATTCCTAGGTCCTTGATCCACTTTGAGTTGAGTACTGTGCATGGTGAGAGAAACTATCACTATTTGTCAATGACATGATTCTATACTTAGAGGATTAAAAAAAAAAAAACTCCAATAGAAAACTTCTAGAATTAGTAAATGAATTCAGCAAAATAGCAGGATACAAAATAAATATCTATAAATCAAATGTATTTTTATATATCAGTGATTAAACCCTCTGAAAAACAAATTAGGAAACTATCCCATTCTTCACAATAGCCTCAAAAAAAAAAAAAAAAAAAAAAAAAAACACCTTGGGAATAAATCTAACAAAAGAGGTGAAAAACCTATACAGTGAAAACTACAGAACATTGAAGAAAGAAATTGAAGAAGATCTTAGAAGATGGAAAGATTTCCCATGTTCTTGGATAGGAAGAATTAATATTGTCAAAATGGCCATACTACCAAAAGCATTATACAGATTTAATGCAATTCCAATTAAAACCCCAACAACACTCCTCATGGAAATAGAAAAAGCAATCATGGAATTCATTTGGAAAAATAAGAGACCCAGAATAGCCAAAGCAACCCTTAGCAAGAAGAGTGAAGCAGGAGGCATCACAATATCAGACATTTTTTTTTCTTTTTTTTTTTATTGGTTGTTCAAAACATTACAAAGCTCTTTACATATCATATTTCATACATTTGATTCAAGTGGGTTTTGAACTCCCAATTTTACCCCAAATACAGACATTAAATTATACTACAGAGCTATAGTAACAAAAATGACATAGTATTGGCACCAAATAGACATGTAGACCAACGGTACAGAATAGAAGACAAAGAGACAAGCCCACATAAATACAGTTATCTCATACTACACAAAGGCTCCAAAAACATACATTGGCAAAAAGATAGCCTTTTCAACAAATGGTTCTGGGAAAACAGGAAATCCATATGAAGCAAAATTAAATTAAACACACCCCCTTTCACTGGCATAATTTGCATTATTTGAACTGTAGCAGTCACATTCAGAGAATACACAACCCTCATTTTTTCTACCATCTGTTTTCAGAAAAATGGAGAAAAATGATAAAATCTCATATTAGGGATTTCTGCCCCTGAAGCTAACAACTCTTGGGCTATTTGTGAAGCCTGTACTCTTTCAGCCCAATGAATTTGTCATCAGCAGCCTAATTCTGAGAAACAGAAGAGGCAGGCTACTAGAGGTGCTCTGTTCATGGCTCTGGCCTAGAGACAAATCACAACAACAAAGCAAAAACTCTTTTTTGAGGACAGTAATTGAGGGAGAACTCTGAAAATCAGTAAGGAAATAATGGGAACCCTAAACAGCATAGAAGGTTTAGAGGGCAACCTAGAGGAAAGAACAAGCAAACAGTCACTTCAGCCCCAGCTTTCCAGTTGCCAGAGTGGAGGAGCTGGTGTATTTCTTTCTGGGAGAAGGCAAGCAGGAGAGTGCCAGCAGCCACAATCATAGCAGCAGACCGGCAGTCCCAACAGTAAGAGAAGTGCACATCTTTAAGGGCTTTAAGTACAGTCCAGGGAGTTGGCTGGGATAAGAGTGATTGTTCTTCTCCAACGAAGGAACTCACTTGGGGCCTCCAACTCCTAGAACCCAAGCTGCCATAATACTGCTGGATACCATCTTGCCTTAGGGACTGCAGCCACCTGCCCAACAGAGCCAACAGTCTCTGCCTGGTAACTGCTTCACTGGGCAGAAGACAGCCCTCTCAGTGTCCTGCAGCTTCAGGATCAGTGACTGCTGCAGCCACAAACTTGAGTCCCATCTGTGCTTGCTTCATGGGAATAAACTAGTAAAATCTCCTCTTCAGCCCAAAGCCTAGAGACTATAGCTACTGGGACAAAGTCCCGGCTTTACCTGCACTTGTTCACTGGGAGCTGGGGAGATCCCAGCAGCCCCAAACCCTAGTACCACCTGTATACCTTGAGTATACCTGTCAGGAACTCAGAAAGGTTTCCCACTACCTTGGGCCTGCAGATGCTGGTACAAACTAACCTGGTATCACTTCCAAGCTTGTTTCTGGGAACGGGGGAAAGGTTCCATCCATGTTCTGCAGCTCCAGGACTGTGGTTACCAATCCCACAAACGTTGTCCCCACCAAAGCTTGCCCCACATGACCTAGGAATTCCCATCCACCTCCTGAAGCTCTAGGACCACAGATACCAATGCCAAAAGTCCCAATATTACCTGCACTCATTCTGTGGAACTCAGGAAAGGTTTCCTTCACATCCCACATCTCCAGTATGTGAATACCAGTACCACAGGTCCAAATGTTACCTGCACATACCCTGAAGGTCCCAGGGAAGGTTTTTCACAGCCCATGGACTTGGAACCATAGCTGCTGATGCCAAAATCCCTGGGACTGCTTGTTCTTGTCCCTTGGGACCTGAAGAAGTTATCTGGGTCATATAGCTCAATGAAAGTGGATAACAGCACTATTGATCTCAGCACCAATTGTCCTCTAGGACCTACAGAATGTCCCCTTTATGTCCCACAACCTCAAGTCTACAATTCCTGGTGTCACAGACAGCAGCATCACCTGTGCTCATCCTGTAGTATGTGAGGTAGGTCCCATCTCATCCTGGGGCTCCAGAACTATGGCTACTGGTGCTATAGGCCCAGACATCTCCCCAAACGATCCTGAGAGTTATGGGGAAGGTATCTTTTACATTCTATAGGGTCACAACCACAGTTGCTGACTGAAGGTTGTGGAGCTTCCAAAACAGAGTAGAACAAATAGAAGAGTATCTGTGCTTGAGGACAGGTCTTTTGAATTAATCCAGACCAAAAGAAAAGAATGAAGAAAGCGTACACAATGTCAAGACTTATGGGACATAATACGAGTTCCATAATATTTGTTAAGAGAACAAATATTTTCATTATGGGAATTCCGGAAGGTGAAAAAAAGGGGAAGGGCATTGAAAACCTATGTCATGAAATAAGAGATCAAGCGTCCAGAACAGGCCCAGCGACCCGCTGGCGTGGTAGTCACG